TCACACCCCCCAGAAGAGGGGCTCATGGTGCCGCAGCCCCCCAAGCCCTGCAGCCTCCTGCAGAGCGAGCAGAGGCTGTCGGGCACACACGGACAGCAGTGGGCTGCAAAAGCCCCTTTGCTGGGTTTATTTGCTGCTGCTTCTGTCCGCATCCTTGCACAGAGCCGAGGCCTCACTGGTGCCCAGGCCGTGGCACTCACACCTCCCTTTTGTCCCTGTCCCCACTCACCTCCTCGGGTCCTGCCTGTGTTTTTTACAGCCCCACAGTCGTCCTGCTGTCACCTAACGCCGATGTGAAGACTCGCAGCCCACTACAGACGTCACCAGTTTTTGTCTCTATAGTCTCTCTTTGCATATTGTAGTATTAAAAAATAGCCGCTGCGTTAACCTGGGTTTGCTGCTGCTCTGCTCCCTGTGTCACTCCCGGAGGATTCCTGCCTTGCCCTCCGCTCCCAGACAGCCTGGACGCGCTGCTAAGGCAGCTGATGACAGCACTGCCCTTCGCTGCAGGGAAGGAAGGACAAGGCTCTTGAAATCTTGCGTCGGGACATTTCATCCTTTGGATCACATGTGAAAATAAATGTCATTTCACACGACATTCCAGATTACTTATCAAATAATGGTCTGCCTAGACTACTGGAATCCGCGCAAATTAAATGTTGTACTTGCAAATGCATTTATTCATTACACTTAGCAATTAACTCATGATTTAAGTAATTGAGCTGTAAATTATCCCCTTGTTTATAAAATAACAACATCCTCTGAGGGATAATATTTTCTATTACAGCAATTAGTAATGCATCAATTCTTGACTAGCATGTAAAACATCTCCACCTTTTCTCCTCTCGTGTTAGCTCGTATGAGAAAAACGATTCTCCAGCGTGATCTCCAGCACCAGGGCACGCACACCGCTCTGGACTGGCACATGTGCAGCTGTGTGCAACCAAAGCAAATGGAGAATGAGGAGTTTTCCCAAAATCCCACCCCTTGTTAATCCACGCCAGTGGCCAAGGGGCTAATGGAGGGGCTTGGCTGCAAATCAGCAAGAGAAGGAAGGAAAATAAGCCAGAAAACCAGTCCATCCTAGCACACACACCGCTCTGCTGTCAAAATGTGTAAACTGAGGATTTAAAATAACTCCAAGTGCCCGCTGTAGGCAGTGCAGCCTGCTTATCCCAAAGATCTCACCTGAGTGTGTAAAAAATACAAATCACAGTGTAAAACAGGATGAGAGAGGTGGGTCTGTTAGGAGAACTCTTCACAGAAGTGGCTTTCATGCTTCTTTTTCAGCTGTGAAGCCCTGAGACAGAGCTGATTTCTAGACAGTGACCTGGGGTCTACCGAGATGCAACTTCAACCCTCTCCGCAGGCAGCTCCCACGTCAGGTCTGACCGCAAAACCCACCGTCCCCGTGTCCCCTGGCACACCGCCCCAGACCGCCTCACCTGCCGCCGCGGCTTAGCTCCGGCATAATTCAGGAATCTCAGTGGGACTGCCGCAGGCGGGAGGCAGGGCAGGACCCAGCTCCCCGGAGGGGCAGCAGGGACGATGCCAAGGGTGCACTGCCACGCAGCCTCGCACCGTGCCCTGCTGCCCTACCCACCTGTACGAAGACGTGTGTCTTCATGAGGTCGCTAATCCTAATAATATGTGATCGTCCTGATATTCTTGATATAGCTAAAGGACTAATTTTAGCTCTGCTATCACCTTGAATACTGAATATTGATCTTAGGAATGCGCATTCAAATTATAATACATTAAAATATTGGTGAGATAGATAGGCTAATTCTCTCCATAACACTGCCAAGTGAAAACAAAACTGAAGACACGGGGGAGATCAGGCGCCAAGAGCA